CTCTCTCTCTCTCTCTCTCTCTCTCTCTCTCTCCCTCCTTTCTCTCTCTCCCTCCTTTCTCTCCCCTGTCTCTTTCTGGCATAAGCTAAAGACCTATGATTGACCCACCTACTAGTTGGCTAAGTAGAAGAGAGTATATCCTTCGTGTAAACACTGCTTACCTGCCCCTGTGCAACCAGGCAAAATCCTGTGAACCAAAGAACCGAACTGGAAACTCTCCAACCACTGGGGTCTTCTTCCTGACCCTCTGTGGGACGTATCCAGGGTGGCAGACCTCACATGCCCACCATCTAGCCAACAAAGCCAAGCTTTTTGTTAATCCAAAGTTTAATTTAATTCAAAGATATACTTTAAACATGAGATATACAAATAAAAACTAAAATAACAATAGAACGCATAAAGCAAAATATTTCCCACAGTAATCCGACAAAAAGACTGTTATCTATTAACATTAAGGATGAAAACTACATGATTCCGACAGACTGCAATACTATATGCCCTCTTGCAGTCTGTGAGAGAATAACAGAATGACCAAAGCCACAAAAGGAGCCATTGTGAAATTAAAATGAGCCTTCAAACAACAGGGGATATATACGATTATCATGATTCATATTAGATTTTGACTAGTAAAGAAAAATGAAAAAGAAACTATGAAAATCTTTAGTTTTAAATGCTGCGCTCTTCTTTTTAAAAACACTTTCTACATTATCATTATTATTATTATTAAAGTGACAGAAACAAAAACAAACTGAAAGAAACAAAAATAATGAGTCTCAGACCTGTAGTTGCCTAGCTTTGCCCAGACAATCTCTCCATACAGGATCTGCAGCCCCGTGACACACTGAACACACTGCCAGTGCCTGCAGTCAAGGCTACAGGTCACTGTACCACCTACAGCACTCACACAGTCAACGTGATATGCCGCAGGACACTCACAGCAGGACAGGAGTTCACCTCCTGAGGACGAGAGAAAATCATAAGCAATGGCCATTGTAAAAAGAAATGCCAACAGACTACTAAAAAAAATCTGGAACTTTTCAAACTCAATGGAAACCCAACATGCTGACACTCAAAATCTACCTATTTAGACCATATTGTCTTATGCATCCTGTATCAAGACCATTTTATATTTCTGTTTGCGTTGGACACTACATAACCATTTGACTAAAAGAAAAGTAAAGAAGAAGAGGTACTGGCACCCGAGACAAAGATCAACTTAACCGAAGATCAACTCAAGCGAGTTAAATACAAGTGCCGTCGTCGACTGTATTCATCAGGGGAAGAAATGAGTAAAACCAAATGTTAGATAGAGTAGAGAGACCTTGACCACAGCTGAGGCATTTCTTCACATGCACGCTGGAGTGTTGTGACTGTTTCTTGCTAGGCTTGAAGTGCCTTGGACAAATCAGTAGGCGTTTGGTCAGCAGTCGGCTGCCGGCCGGCACACAGTGGTCAGTGGCGTGGTAGGCAGCGGGGCAGTGCACACATTGGCAGAGGTCT